GTCGCCACCGCCGCACCACCCTGCAACAATATCCTGACAATCCCCGCATACCCCAATGAGGACGCTATATCCATCGCCGTCCTCCCCTTCCCCGTCCTCATCTCCGTATCCGCCCCCCTCTTCACCAATACCTCCACAGCTTCCGCCTGCCCTGCTTCCACCGCACAGTGCAGCGCCGTATACCCTTCTTCATCCCTCGCATCCACCCCCGCCCCTTTCTCAATCAAAAGCTTCATTACCTCCACCCTCCCCTTAAACCCCGCCCTCATCAATGCCGTCCATCCCCATCCATCTCTCCCATCTACCGCCGCCCCCATCTCTATCGCCCTCACCGCAATCCCCCCTTCCCCTTTCCTCGCAGCAGCCGCCAATCCTTCCCCCAGCCTCAACAACCCTAATAGCCTCGCATGCCCTTCTTCTGCCGCCAGATCATACGCCGTCTTCCCCGCCGCGTTCCTCGCCTCCTTTAACCCCGCGCATCCCTTCTCCACTAGAATCCTCGCCGTCGCCTCATCCCCCACCGCCGCCGCCATGTGCAGCGCCGTATTCCCCGTCGCTCCGGCGGGAGCGTCGCCGCGCGCCCCGGCCGCTAGTAACGCCGTCACGCAATCTCGGCGTCGTTCCTCCGCCGCGATATGCAGCGGCGTCCGCCCGTCTGGCGCCGCTACGTCCGGCTGTGCACCTTTCAGAAGCAGAATCCGTAGTACCTCCAAATGCCCTCCCGCCGCCGCGTGATGCAATGGCGACCACGACGAACCTGAGGAGCGGCGGGTGGAAGCTCCCCGCGCGAGGAGCATCAACGCCTCGCCGATCGCTGCCGCCGATTCGAGCGGCGATCGGCCTGCGCTGCTCCGGGCTTCGACGTCTGCTCCGAATTCGAGTATCAGCTGCACCATATCGGCGCGACTGCGGGCAATGGCGAGATGCAGAAGACTTTGCCCTTGCGCATCGGTGGAATCGGCCGAGTGCCATTCAGGATCGCTGGCTTCGAAAACCTCGCGTACTTTCTCCATGTCGCCGTCTGAAACAAGACGAGAAAGTACGGCGGATCCGACGAAGAAAACGCGGAGAGCTGAATCGGAGAAGACCTGCTTCTTCTTCGCCATGAACCAGTCGGCGGGAACGGATTCAAGTGAGGAGAATGCGGCTCCATCCTTCACCGAAGCGCCGGGAGCGACGACGGAGTCGAGGAAGAATGTATCGTCGGAGTTCGGGGCTGATTCCGGCAGGATTGAAGAAGGCGGCGGCGGGGGGAGGTATGTGATCTCCACCGTTAGGGTTGCGAGGGGGGCGATGATTCCGGTTTGAGGTCGGATAGCGAACCGGCTCCGGTTCAGTGGCAAGAGCCGGAATGCAACTGGCATGGTATACATCACGTTGCGAAGAGTAAGTGAACCGTAGCATCGCTGGCCCTGTTCGATCCGGACCACCACTCTGTTCGACGGTTCGAGCCTCAGCAAGCGATCCATTGGTAGCTAAGATTGGAGCTTCAGGATTAGGGTTAGGGTTAGGGTTATAGTTATAATTCAGGATGAGAGGGAAGAACCCATTAGAGAGCTGAGGGAGAAGGGGAGGGGGGATTTAACGTGCATGGAAAGTAAGGGTGGGCCGGCTATAAAGAAGCTGCAGAAAGACATCTTCTTTAACGCGTTTTTGAGTTGATCAATTTTTTATTTGATAGGGAGTTTTTCATTAAAAAAAAAAATAGAATTTGCCCCTCAAAATATTAAAATTTTATATATTTAATATTGGAATTTAATTATTTATAACATCAACTATTTTATGAATAAATCTCATTGGCTTCCTTTGCGAACACGGCAAGGCTCCGTTACGATGGGTAGAAAGCGAAGAAACGGAACAAGTGTTATTTGGAGGAGACCCTCGCTTAGCTTCGCGTCCACCGCAAGGTCCAAAATGGTGGAAACACACAACGATTCGATCCGGAGATGAGGTGATTCGTTCTGTGACGGAACTCTTGAGGTAGCTTCATACGGAGCCCATGAATGTATTTGGGACGACAGTGCGATGGTGGTGCGATGCAAAAATGGTGTATACATCTCTTTTTTCAAAAAGTTCCAATAGATGGTTGTGTTTTGCAATCCAGCTTAGCTAAGTGTGGTGACTTTAAGAAAACTTAATAATTGATTCTTCAAACAACCGCAAATGCTCACTATAATCAAATAGTGAGAGTCGTGAGAAGTGGATGAACATACTCACAACATTTAGGCTAAACCATGAAATTGGTCTCCAATATCTGATCTTTGATTAAAGGATGGGTTAACTCTTGCCGATGTGAGACCATCGTGCGGTATCACGCTGTCGATCCATGTATGGCTCAAATTTGAGCGAAATTTTGGCTCATAGTTCAGTTCAATTACTTTGATTCGATCCTGATCCGAGCTAAAATTGGAATAAACTTGGGAGGAGAGTTGGTTGGATTCTTTTCAGGTGTTTTTGGAGGAAAAGCAGGGAATCAATTTTTTGTCATTAGTGCCTTATTGTGACATTTTAAAATGCATATTTTAAAAGTAAAAGGGTGGATTGATAAGTTTTATTGGTTGTTATAATTTAATAACGTTGACTACATTTTTTGTTTTTTTTTAGTTTTTTAATTTCTCAGATTAAAATTAGGAGGGTAAATGAGCCCTACACGCTTGTTAAAAAATATTACTGTTCGTATTCGACTCATTTATATTTCGAACAAAAAAAATATGTTTGTATTTGACTCATTTGATTAATGAGCCGAACAGGAGTTATTCGCGAACAAAGAATCTTTTTAAACAACTATAGTCACAAGAGGCTAAGGGTTAGGGCTAGATTTAAATCTTACTTTTTATATTTAACATCTTTTAAATATAATTTAATAAATTTTCATTTTACTTTTTAATTAATAATTTCAATTGATTATAAATCTTTGTAAGTATGTAGTGAATTAATTTTATTTTTAAAACTACTACTCATCAATTATTGATACACCACCAACAAATTTTCATCATCCATCACGAATCTCGAGGTATGACACGAATCTCGAGGCAACCTTTTGAGAAACAAACATTCACACTTCAATTAAAAGTCATCCAGAGCTTCGATTTCGACAAACTTATAGTCAAACTGATTGACTCGATGAGACGGAGCTAATGATATCAAATTTAGTCTAATCCGAGTTAAATCAAGCCCAAACTAAATCATTAAATCATCTTTAAAAAATTTTCGGACACATTTGAAAGATCAAACGATTGTCAAATTCAGCGAGTTTATAGTCGAATCGAGTATCTCGACAAGGCAAATTCAACGAGCCCAAGATCGCTCAATTCTGACATCGTTAAGACACTTAAATGTCCATCAAATATCATCCGATCGAGGGAAGCTCTCCAGACCGTTCGATCAAAATGATTCATATTTCTGCATTAATTGCATCCACAACACTATAAATAGAGTCTAACTCCTCACATGAGGGGTAAGACTTGAGAGAGAACTTAAAGCTTTGAGCAGAAGTTCAAGTCCAACATCATCCTGACCGCCAACGACCCCTGTCGACCACCGCCGGCCATCGTCAACCACCGTCAATCATTAGTAACCTCCGTCGATAACCACCGACCGTCGACGACCACCGTCGGCCACAATCGACCATCGTCGACCTCTGTCGACCACCGCTGACCTCTGTCGACCACCGCTGACCTTCGACGACCGCCGCCGACCTCTGTCGACCACCGACGATCCCCGCGGACCTCCTTCGATCACCACCGACCGTATGTGTGTGTGTGTTAGATATAACTTATATACCAGAAAAAAGACAGATGCTGGAGCGGAGCTTGCGAGCAGAGTGGAGCGGAAGTATTTGTCCAATTGTGAAAGTTTCGTTATGTGGGTTGGGGGTGTGGGGGCAACAGTCCCGCAGTATGGTACAGAGGCAATTTTGTAATTAATACTCTTTTTCTTAATCGAAGGAAAGCCGGCCCTCTACTCTTAAGAATATAGGCACCTTTCCCCAACCTCATTAAATCTCTGCATTTTCTTTTGGACTTATCTTATTTTTCTTTGCCCAAAAATTCTCAAGAGCCAAACACGAACAAACAATTCCTTGTTCATGTTCGCCTCGTTCATATATTGAGCTCAAAAATTTTTTTTTTTTTATTCGGTTCATTAACTTAACTAACGAATTGAGCGCGAGCTTCTTAACGTACCGAACAAGATTTGTTTGTGTTGTTTTGAGAGACCTAATTAAAATACCGTCAATATTTTATATTATATTTTTATGAATAAATATATAATGGACATGGAATATTCTTATTTAAATAAATTTAAATTCTGACATATTTAAATTGAATTAAATTATTTGATTTTAAGTTTATAGTTAAATTAAAAAAAAAATAATAATAATAAATAAAACATTAGCTCAGAAGTATACACTACGTACGCATCTCTCAAAATATCTCAACATATTACTATTTAACTCATTATTTTTATTTGATAAAGTATATATAAAAGAATAAAAATATAAAATGAAATTTAAGGAGTGGTTGAACTACGATGATATAAGAATTCTTAAATTTATTTAATAAAGTGTTAAATAAGTAATAAAAATCAACAGAACCACTTTATGAAATAACTATTCATGCCATCCAAAAACAAAATTCTTAATGAGCTATTCAAATGAATTGGACCGTTAAATTAAACCATTTCTATTTATCTTAGTCTTTTCTGAGCTACATTTTAGCATTTTTGGGAGAAGTAAAATACTCCTTCCTATGCATAGATAAAGTGACCTATATACAACGAAAATAATTTAAGTTGTTAGATATTTAAAAACATAAGAAATCAGTGGTATTGTACATCTGAAACTTGTATGCACAAATCTCGGGGAAATCTAACAGATAAAAAGTACAAAAAGTATAACTAATGGGGCTAACAGATGGTAGAAGACCGAAGCTCCATCAACATAAGACTAAGAATTAGTCATTAGAAGGCTTGGTATTCACTAGTGGAATACAAAAAGAGTTTTCTGATCAGGTCAAGGTGCAACTCTTCTAAGCCGGGGTCGGGGGTTGGCCGAGCAAAGGTTGTCTCAACCAAAGACCAAAGCCTATCGAGTCAAACAGAGGCATCAATCTGCCTCACAACAGAACCCAATTCAAGAAAAGAATGCAGCATCACCAGCTTTTTCACAAACTCCCTTTTTATTTGTGGAATATTGAATAGAAACTCATACAAAGAACAACATGTATGACTATAAAAAAGTTACCCTCTAAGTTTGTGTATTTCCACGCCAAATACTTACTATTACTCGTATGATTTATATAGATATCTAGCTCACATATGCACTCAAAAAAGGCACATTAGCATCACATATCGATAAAACTCTAAGTTTAAGACTACAGTGGTATGATTTTCCTTACTTTTACTTGGAAGGAACAATGATATTGATCATATTTGAGATTATGATGTTATGTTTTTTCTTCATTATTCTTAGAGCAAGCATTGCTTTTGATCATATGTAAGATAAAGCAAATCCTTAGGAAGCTTCCTTATTACCCCTCTCCTGTCTTAAACCTAAGTGATAGTTATTCTTCTTATCTTGCTCTCTTATGTGGAGTAGAATGATAGATCATTCATACTATCCATAGAGATTGGGAGCTCCATCAAATGTTATTAAGATGCTAAAACTTGTTTGTAAAATGGTACTTCGTTGTCATCATCTGTCACTCTTTGGAGAAAATATTACATTAGGAGTTCTGACGTAGTTTCATGTGCGGATGGTAGTATTTAGGTGTTTTTGGTAGTATTGAGGTGTCATTTTACCAAAATCACCACATTACTACTAATAACGCATCCAATAACACTATCCGCACCTAATCTGGATGTATTATTTTTTCCACTCTTTGACACATATATGTTATTATATTAATCACTATTGAGACACTTACTTCCGTCTACACACACAAACACATGCCCGTCGAATCTTGATTATGCAATTTTTATCTTACTATGATCAATCAATGCATGATAAAAACATTTTTTGCTTAAATAACTAATGTGTTATACTGTTTTTACAAGTTTATGTGGCTCAATACATTGTTTTCTCTACTGTTAGGGACTTGATGTCTTCTTAAGTGCAGAGCTAATGCTACTGTAGATCTTAGATAGCCATGGTTAGGGTTTACCTAAAAATGTCATTACAGTCTGACCGTTTGGCCGAAAGGTTCCATGTTCACACTCACCGACTAAAAAGAAAAAAAGTTAGGGTTTACCTTAAATTGAACCATGTTTCCTCTTCTACTTCTTTTCTCTTAGGAAGAATTACTAATCACAAGGATTTCACAACATGTACTCATAGTTAAAAAATCAAACTAATTAATTCAACTAATAATAACAAGTAATAATACAAATAAATAATCTTTTTTTTCCTTTAGTTAGGGGCCATTTGGCATCACTTTTGATTTATATTTTTAGTTATTCATATTTTTAATAAAAAAATATATATTTGATATGTTAAAATAAAATATGTAGCTTGGTTGCATGACAAGCGTTAGTCGGAGAGGAGGAAACATTTAAAAAACTATTTTAAATATTTTAAAAATAATCTGAATTTTTTTAAATTTTATATATATATATA